CAGAATGTTTTAACCCCCCCCCCCAAGAAAAATTGTTTAAATTCCCTTTTAATTACCAGAATCTCTTCGCTGAGCACGGGACTTCTTGCCACCACCAGGCAAACCCAGGTCGCTTGAGACCTCGAGGCTCCCATCCTCTGAGGGTGCAGGGGAGGCTGACAGTGGCTTGAGGATACTCTGTGATGGACTTTTGCTGGGCTCATAGGGAGGGGCACCCTGCGTAGCCAGGCTCTTCAGGTAGTCTTGGAACTCTGAGGAGGAGAGAAAAATAATCTTTTAAAAACTCCCTACGGTTTGAGTAAAGAGAAGCAAATTGACACAATGATGGCCATTTTGTGCTGGGAAAAGTTAAGTTTAGTTAGTTTTAGTAGAGGTTTTACTGCACTCGCAACTACATAAAGTCATATGAGCGCCAGAAGATTAGAGGAGTTACAAGAGAGTAACAAACAGAAAAAAAGAAGAAGGGGAGATAAGGACAATAGATGTTTGATAGGAAAGGAGAAAACCACACCAAAGCACCCGCCAACCACCCACGGAAAAGTAAGACAGACAGACACAAAACAACAGAGGGAAAGTACAGAAGGGGGGCCCACCAGTGGCGCCCTCCACCCACCTGCCCTTTGTTTGAGTTTGAAAAAAGAAAAGCACAACGACCATTCAGTGCTGAGTAAAAATATAGACAGACAGACAGAAAGAAACAAGAAAGGAAAATTAACGAAGTGGGGAACCATCCCCAAGTAACGAAGTAGAAACATACATCACCTTCTTAGCACTCCCAATACCACCCTCCACCAAAGATAGTACATAACAAGATGGGCCACTCAGCCAAAAAAGTGTCCGCCGGAAGTCCGCTCTTTGCTTCAGATGGCGCTGCAGTCTGTTTTGAAGCTCTCTTTCGTTTTTCCAGAAGAAGAATAGGAATAGCACCTCCTTGCATGCGCAGATCGACTGCTGTTCATCAGCAGTTCGGATTCGTTCAGTGCGGAGTTTTAGGGTTTTTTTTATTTTAATGATCTCTCGCCTTTCATTCTAAAGTCAAATTAAACGAAGAAAACAATCACCCCTGCCCCCGGAAAAGTTTTTTTTGTCAGCGTAACCATTTTTAAAAAGCGTTCTTCTGAAATTTGTTCCAAAACTTGCTAGTTTCACTTTGATTTTTTTAAACACAAGTAGGGTAACTCTGTTTGCAAAAGGTGCGCATTCGCGAAGAGGGCGCCACCGAATTTTGAGGACACTTTTTTAATTGGCTCAAAGAGAGGAGTGGCCCCTCTTGTTATGTAGACTCTTTGCCTCCACCCAGCATTCGCAATACCACCCCCTCCCCCAACATATCCAACACACACACCAACAATTCCCTGTCCCACTTACTGTTAGCCTTGTTCTTCCGGAGGTCAAACACCACCTTCTTCTTGGCACCCGGTGTCATGGCTAGACCTGGAGGATCACTCATCAGCTGAAAGAAAAAAGTCATTTAAAATCTCTTAGAAATGTAGATGGTTTTATTTACCTCCCCCATCTAAACATTTTAGGTCATTTAAGAGGCAGGCTTCAACTCTACCTGTCAGGGTCAACCTGGCCTGAGAGGGATTGGATACAACAGAAAGACCAAGTGTGATAAAAGTTCTCCACACTCAGATCCTCTTCCAAGCGACTGTGAAGCGTCTAACTGCTACACCACAGAAGCCATTCAGCTGAATGAAGATTTGTATGAGTTAGGAGAAACACATCGATATGAGAACAGAGACAGAAACAATGTAAGAAAGAGGCAAAAGCATTCAGACCAAAGCATAATGAAATTTGTTTTAAAGAAACAAAGAATTTCAACGTATCAAATGCACCCAAAAATGGACGCATAGTAACCCAGCAAAAGAAAAGAAGTCCTTGATAAAATAAAAATTGTGAATCAAATTTTTGTCGTTGGCGTGCAACAACCCATACTATTACACAATAATCTTGAGAATTAAAAAAATAATCTGCCTTTTTTTACATTGGCTTCAGAGTACAGTGGTCTGCAACTAATAGAACACTGGATAAAAGCTATATATAAGGACTGTGACTGAATCAAAACAGTCAGCAAAATGAAGCTCACCTTGTGTTCAACCGCTGGGCCCGGGTCGGAGGCAGGGGCTACCATGGCCACTGCTTTCTTGACCAGGGCGCATGGGGTGGCCAGGGCTGTCTCCACCACAGTCCATGAGCTTGTTGCACTTGACCTAGAAAGCCCAGGCGATGTCTCCATGTCCTCTTTGGAGCCAGATGTATCTTTCTTCGGCTTTGACAGCTTCGCGTTGGGGGTGGACGGTGGCGATTTTTCTTGTGCGTTGCGGGAAGGGGAAGTGGGAGATGTTGCCGATGAAGATGATGAGACGGACGACTCCAGACGAGACATCCCGTCGCCTACCACATTGCTGGCGGAAATAATGTCACTCGGAGATTTTGAATGCAAAGACTCCACCTTCACAGGTGAGGTGAGCCCCCGACCGCTCTGACCAGCTGACAGGGGGGTCGTTGGAGCCTGTGGGTAGTGCACGAGCTCGACGGCCTCCACTTTCAGTCTGCTCCCCTTAGGTCTGGCATTAGTGTTTGTGTTAGACAGGGACGACGACGATGACTCCACAGAGACAGACTCCTCAGCAGTTACTTTTTTCGGAGACTTCTTCCCCTTTACTTTCTTTTTCACCCCTAGTGACCCATCACTGCTAATCACATCTGTAGTGCCGCTGCTCTCTTCACTCTTCTTGATGTTGTCTGCCCCTGCATTTGACGAGAGCTTTCGCTTTTTCAACTTTTGACCTAGAAATGGGTCACTGTTCCCACTGGGAGAATCCCCACCAGCACTTACACCCTTCACCTCCCCGTCTGAAGACAGTTTACGCTTTTTCTTTTTCTGAACACTTGGAGTGACTACGACTACAGAGTCAGACTTGGCAGAATCACCACCATCACTCACCTGTAACCCGTTCTTGTGCTTTTTTTTCCCCTCAGTCTGAGCCCCCAAACCCCCTACATTCGCCTGACTGACACCTGACAAGTCCTTGCCACCTTTCTTTTTCTTATGAGGCCCTTTCACATTTTCTTCTGTCTCGGCTTTTGGTACTTCGGCACTCACTTCTCCCTCGGGAACCTCACCACCAGCACCGTCCTCAACCACTCCACTAGACTGCTTCTTTCTTTTTCTCCTTCTTTTCCTCTTTTTCTGCTCACCACCAGCACCTGGAGAAGTGAGTGCCGAAGCACCAAAAGCCTGACCAAAATCAGGGAAAATATGGGAGAAGTCGTCATCCTCACCTTGCTCTGAGCTGCGAAGAAAAACAATGAGCAATCTAGGTTAAAGAGAGAAACCAGCAGGCGCTGTGGCAGATATTAAACTTCATTAAAGTGACTACATTTCCAAGCTTAACACAAGAAAAATACATCTGTTACTACACTCTTAATGCATTCTCATCACTGAAAACTTTTTAAGTTTGTTTTTTTTCCTACAAATTTATCCTTTCAGATGAAGAAATTGCACAAAAACAAGTATAAAAAGCCCAAGAAAGACGAATTCTACAAAACACAAAACACATTTTCTCAGAGCCACATTCACAAACCCCAACATGTTCAGGGTCTGAAGCAAATTATGATAGACACACCGAAAATAAAGGAACTAATTTTGGCCAGGAAGCTTCAATAATTCAGGAATTGTTTGTTTTAGTAGAGGTTTTACGGCACTCGCAACTGCATAAGGTCAAATGAGCGCCAAGAATTAATCAAAACGGGGATAACACCATAGCTCCGAGAACGAAGATCTAACCTGTTCACTTTCAGTAAAACCTCAGGGTGTTGTTTCACCAGGTTGTAGACAGCTGCCCTGTTCTTGGCCTTCACTTCATTTTTCTGGGCCAGTCGGAACATCCACTGGAGGAGAAGACTAACATCCAGCTGAGGAAAGACGGGAAGACAAAACAAAACACTTGAGTTTGGTCTGATTTTATCAAGTTTGAGAGTTTTATGGCACACACAACACAAAACGGCCTTACATAAGCGCCAAAGATTACATTTGTTTCTGGTTTTGTTTGACTAAAGAGAAGAACATTGACACAATGATGGTCATTGAGTGCCGGGAAAAAGCAAGGCAGACAGACAGAAACAACAGAAGGAAAGTAAAGACGTAGGACCGACCAGTAGCACCCTCCAACCACCTGCTTGTTACCGGAGAATTATTCAAAGAAAAGAAAGAAGCTAGTCTACTAAGCTGATACACCGGAGGAGGTGGGTAGGAGCCAGAAAAGAATGTAAAGTCGAACAAAATCTCCTTTCTAAGAATGGGAGAGGAAATTTAAAAAGCGTCTCCAAACAAAATCTCCTTTTTAAGAAGAGGAGAGGAAACGGTGAAAGTGGAAAAGCTCCTTTCTATACACGTACGTTTATTAGTGAGTCGCAACATAAGATTCATAACAATCTGAAAACTGTCCTTGTTTGCTTGGTTAGTAAACCTTGCTGACCGTGAAATCATACCTATATGACCACACACACACCACTATGGCCATAGGGGTTTGTGAAACCATACGTTGACAACTCTCTCCTCCATTTTTTATCCCTTCTTCTTACACAAATAGAGAAATATGAGAGCCATTAACGTCAAAGTCAGACATCTTGAGCATTTTCTGTTCCAGCAGGCCTATCCTTCATAAGCTTTTAGCTTTATGTTTATTATAGTTGTTCTGTTCCTACGTCTGAATGAAAGTAGTCTGTGTGTGTGTGTGTGTGTGTGCATAAATGTATATTGCATGAGAAGAAAGATCTTGAAAATGGGTATTCCAATGTAAAGCACATTGAGCCACTTTTTTTGGGAAATGCGCTATATAATTGTTATATATTATTATTTATTAATACAACTGAAATAACCAGGTTTTACAGAAGAATTGCCATTAAAAAGTAGTGGGACTTCTAGAATTTACTGAGGAATCATGATCCCCCCCCCCCACAAAAAACAAGGCTGGCCACAGAAACAAATTTGTAAAAATCTTTTCTTAATAAAATAAAAAGAATTTTTTTTTTCAATTTTCTGGAAAAAAGAAATTCCCATAAGTCAAAGCACCAATTACCTGAAACGTAACGTCTTCATCCTCTTTTTGTTCAGCTGTGTCTACCTCCATGTCTTGCTCTTCCTGGGAGGAAGGATCTGCCGTCTTTACTTCACCATCCTTGTCCCCTTCTTCTGACGGCCGCAGCGTGCTGATGGCTTCACAGATCACACAAGACATGACTCGCTGGACCAGCTCAGCCCTGGGAAACAATTCACGAAAACAATCAAAACTTCAGGGATTTGCTAAAGGATCTAGACTAGAATGTATTAACATATATGAGGCAGCCTGGTGAAATCAGGCGCTCGGCAAAATACAGAGATCGGAGAAACGCGCGTTTTTCCACCAGTTTGGAATTTTTATTTTGTTTGGCTCAACTTCTTTTATGTCCATATAATAACACGTATCCATGTGAATTTTATTGAAAAACATTTATTAAAGGCACAAAATATGTCGTTTTTCTTTTTCCAAGGACTCTAGCTATTGGGAGTTACCAAACTTTGGCAGCCATGTTCTCGCTAATTTCTCCACTGAAACCAGGCGACCTGGCAAATATCTTGAGTTCTATTCAAGATACAAGGATATTTATTTCATAGGAAAAAAAAGGAAAATAAATCAACTTTCAGATGACACCAAAAACTCCACATGCCCAAAAACTGACCAGAGCCTGATTCCACCCCGTTTTGACACATACTAAGTATGGACTTCTATATAGTGTAAAGCGCATAGAGCCTGCTGTTGAGCAGGGATATGCGCTATACAAATGCTATCTATTATTATTATCATTATTTTTTCTACAGCAGAGCCTGCCAAAAACAGTGGCAGGTGGTGGTGTGTGTGTGTGCTAGTGCGTGTGTGTGTGTGTGTGAGACACATTGTAAGGAGAAGATTATCTTGACATCGATATCTGCAAGGGTAATGATTATGCTTTTTGCCATTGCACACAGAAGAAGTGAGTTCCATTCCAGCTGGGTTAGGTCTATCCTGTTTAGCATGTCGTAGCAGACTGTTCAACTGCTCTTAGCCCAGAAAGCAAAATTGTTCAGGAGCAAAATAAAACTGCTTCATTTTTTAAAGAACTGCTGTAACTACCAAAGCTGCCGCTCAGGAATTTCAAAAAAGGAGGAAATTCACGCGAAGGCGGACGCGCTCTCTCTGAAGGCCGGAGTAAAACCAGTAAGATCCAGAGGCAATATATTGTAAAATCTAGCCTACGGTTTTGGAAGGGAAAACTGTCATATTCGTTAACCATGGACAACTGAATTAAAACGTATCCCCCAAAAAAACAAACAAAGGCATTAAGTTGACTAACAAGCATTTGAGTCAATTTGACACAGCTTGGACTTGGTGACAAAAAATCCAGAGTTTGTTGCCAGCTGTTGTCTCATTTTAAAAAATTTCACTTTTAACTTGTACATCGATGTAGAGCAGTATTGGATCAAGGAGGCAACACATTTGCCGCTCTATTGAGCGATTTCGGCACTCCTGTACAATTGCGGCCGCATTTGCACTTAGTGCCCTTGTAGTGTGTTACTTAGAGATCTAAACTGAATTAAAGTTATAGCCTAGGCTGTCTAATCTAGATCTAGAATCTAGATATCTAAATATGTGTAGACCTATATTATATCTAGAGACAGATTATCTAGATCTAGATTCACTTCCACAGCCACAATAGCCGTTATGTAAACAAACGGGACCGCAATTGTACAGGAGTGCCGCGGGCCGCAACTTTATCGCACCAAACGCAAAGTGCAGCAAGGGGCTTGTTCAATTTTCTAATGAACTTTTCAAGTCGAACACCGGCTGATACTTTCTCATTCCAGCTCCTTTTATTTTTGCATTCTGCATCAATTTCTCCCGAATTTCGGCTGTTTTCAAAGACAACTCGGGGCGCCACGGTCCCGATGCCTGATTGACATTGTTGCTCCACAATAAACAAAGTGAAACTAGCGCTACGCCTATAAGAGTGGAAGTAGAAAGCTACGGGTGGACATGCGCAAGCTGCGTTTTCGTCTCTCTCCCGGTTCGGTGTTTTCCGTGTGTATCGCAATTTGCGACCGAGAGCGGCCCAGCGGAGGAAGGAAGAAAGTAGCGGGAAAAGCTATATGAAGCGGAATTTCCGCTATTTAGCGGGGAAGTGGCAGCTATGAACTACACTATACATTTTACCCAAAATTTTCAATTTGAATTTCCACAAAATATTTCTCAAACACATGCAACCAATACCACAGCAATAAAAAATTGTTTCCAAACTTTGGGCTAAGTACATCTAAATAGCTGGCCAACGATATCAATTTTTCGGCTGGAATATTGCAGTCAGATTCATTACAGGCTCATTTGAGCAGCATACGTATTATTCTATCTCTCTACCAAACCCAAGAGTAAATTACGACGTCACTTTTTGTCCGATTCTGCCACTTTTAGTCAGCGTGACTCAGCAACCCGCCAGAGCTCCCTGACTCGGGGTCACGATGTTAATGAGCCCTAAAGCGACTTTGCCGGTGTCGGTTAAGAAGTTCACGTTTTTGTCTACGTTTGGAACGATATAACTTCTTCCCCATCCCACACAGCAAACCACTACACAGATGTACTAAAAGCTCAACTCAAATGTCTTAAGATTTATTCTGCGTTAGAGTGGTAATTTCTTTGCCTTAATCTTTATTCTGGACAAGTGTTTGTAGAGTACCCAATTAGTTCTAGTTTAGTTACAAACGAATGAATAAATGATTGTTTATTTAAAACAGGGTGTCCAGCAATATTTCCTGAAAAAATTTACTACCTGGAAAAAAAATTTACTACCCAGCAAATCAAGCCCCACACCAGCTCGAAAAAGGGAGTTAATTTGCGCCATCAATAACATATACATTATTATTACATAACATATGGAACGAAAAGAACACACAACAAAGTCCAGTCGACAAAATGGAGGATAGACAGACGATCGCAAGCTTGCTTGCAGCTAGATTTAGTTTTAGTAAGGTTTTTACGGCGCTCGCAACTGCGTAGGTGATATGAGCAACAATGGGTGGATGTCAACAGAGAAGTCCAAACAGGGAATCAAGCTTCGACTATCAAGGCACCCTGGAAATAGTAGTTCACAAGCGTGACAAACATACAAAAGAAGTAGAGGAAAATGACGATAGTAAAGAAGAGGACAGAAAAGGCAGCAGTTCCCCCTACGCTGGTCCAGCACAGTATGAGCATGACATTGATAAATCAGCCCATTTACAATTCTACTGTGCATAAGAACATGTTAATATCCTCCCTTTGGGAATGGCCTAAAGACGTTTCAGTCAGTAGCACTGCCCTGGTGGAGGTGGGAGGGGGAGGGGGGTAGATTTATACCTAATGTGTACACACAGGGTGACTGCCAAACCGGCTTCTCCATTTTCCAGGGCCATGTTACACAACAACAACGCGCACACACGTAATGACTCGAGTAAACCTATTCAGTGTGAGAGGTGTAAGAACTGTGACAGGGCAAGAGACAGTGACACTGAAAATCTGCCAGTCTTGAACAGAAAGCTACAATATTGTTCTAATTTACTATCACTCAACAAATGAAACGCGAACACTTTATTTCAATAACACGGCTTACAAGGTATGAAGGATCCCGATTCCACACAAGGCCTGCACCAACACGCGCTTTGCAGAGGGCTCTAAATCTAATCAAAATTCTGAAATTTGCTTACAGTTTTTGTCCTCTGGTGTTGCCTTTATCCCCTCCCCCCTCCCCCGAGTGTCTCTTTAAAAAAAATCAATAATCCCTGCCCTACTCTGTAGTCCTATACTTCGCAACGCTCGACTTTTTAATGAACTTTGGCGACCCCAACAAACGCCGGTGCTCACCAATGCCGTACCTTGTAGTGCCTCGCGCGAAGGTTCACTGACCTGTCCCGCTGGCGAACCCGACAATCTAAAAATCGGACAAAGCTTGTATTTTCTTTTCACCCCCCCCCCACCCCCACAAGTGACAGCACGGTGAAGAGTCCGAGTAATTATTAATTTTATTTGCACGGCAACAAAGCGGGTATACTGTACAACCTGCATATTACAAATGTTGCGTTATCAGTTTATCTACGCCAAATTTCAGGGTGGTAACGAAAGCGAAAGTAGATCCTGATTTTCCCGATCGAGCCTCGTGTTCCACCTGCCGCCATAGCCGGCTTTTGTGTGAAACGTACTCCCGTACTCTCGGACAGGGAAAAGGTGAATGAATAATTATATCACAATCGCGACCGGCAAAAACGGAGTCATGTACCGCGGCTAGGGTTCACTGAAAAGTCTTGCTGGCTTCATCACTCAGTATGCAGGCTAATTTACGACTTTTTACCAAATTTGTACTACCTTCAAGGCAAATTTACTACCATTTATGACCTTTACGACCAGGGCGCCGAATTTACGACTTTTTTACGACTTTGCTGGACACCCTGTTAAAAACGGCTCGACGGATGTCTCCAAAATCTGTGTTAAAGTTAACTGACTACAAATATCATGTCTTTTACAAACGAGAAATTTTTAATCTGCGCAAGTTGTAATAGTCATGTTAAAAGAGAAGAAAGATGTACATCTGTATGTTTTAACTATTGTTTTACCATTAAAAAAAGAGAGTTGCTCTGCGTTTGTTCATGAAACATGCTGTGTCTGTAGCAGCCTATATATACAATTAAGAAAGATACAATATATGCGATTTTTAAAAAACCCACAAATCCATGTAAATACATGGGTAGAGATGAACTTCTTGTATGGAATAAAAATAATGACAGCTAACGCATTCCCAAGCTTTTGTGTCGGAAATATGCGCTGACACTTATGAATGTAAAGAAATCAGAACATAGTCAGTTATTGCAAATGGTTATAGAAAAAAACCAAAAGCTGATTCAGTGTCACTGGAAAGCTAGAAACTATTCTCATAAACCAATTACGAGAAGTCATCCCTGTTATTCAGTCAACTTAAAAAACCTAGACTTAACGTATTAAGAAAAGTAACTGGAGTGTAACAGATGCGGTTGGTGTATTGCATTGTAGATGTATTCTGGTACTAAAATCGATTTGTATTACTTCATAGAGCCACTACAGGGTAATTTTTGTAAACTTTCGAGAAAATATGCGAATATTCACGATTATATTGGACACATACAGTTGTATTTGAGGAATTGCTTCACAGCGAATTGTGTGCCGCATGGATAAAGTTGCAAAATTACAGCTTTCTATGACATGTGCAGACACCATCATTTCTAAGTATCTGCACCAATGTCATGCTGTTCATGTTCCAAAAGTTTAACAGGTTTTGTTGTGCTATTTTTTTATATTGATTTATTTTTAATTCACACTCGTTCAAAAAATGTTTCAATTCAGCATTGCAGACTTCAGCGCATCTAACAAAATAACCAAGCAAGAAACAATGTCAGTTCTTTTCTTAGTCTCAAGAGCAGAAATGTTAGCTTTGGGTGCATTAAATGATAATTATCATAAATACAAGGATACATCTAAAACTTTACGTTGAAAAGTACCCAAAATTAAGTCAGCCCAGACAGAACGACAACAGGGAGCTGACCCATGACCCCGACGTGATAAGAGGCACTCGGCGGGGAACCCCCGCTGCAACTAAAATTCCACTGCCGGTGCGGCGTGAAATGAGCAAGTTGAAAGCAAAAGATCAAGTCAGTTTGTTAGTGTTTGCGTGTTAAATCCATTGATTGCTCTGTGCACTTCGCAGGAAGCAGAGAATGTTTTTGGTTGTTCTAGGGTCTGCTGGGGTAATTGTACAGATTGTAAAGCACATGCAGCTTGCTGATGAGCAGGGCTATGCAGTATACAAATTCTGTTTTTTTATCATCAGTTGCTCGCCTTTTTCTTTTACACATAAAAAATATTCAAACCACAACAGAATCAATAATCTATCTTATAACAGCTCTCTGGCCAGGATGTTATCTACACTCACTTTCTTGAGAAAACAATGTAGACGATGAATGGCTGGAGAAGAGTCACCAACTTAGGAGTTGTCATCTGAAAAAAAAAAAAGAAAAAAAAATATATATCAATACATTCTATCAAAATGAAAAACAATATATTGAACATTGGGCCACAAACTTTGGTTCGAATTATGACCCACATTTCTCGAACAACAAACTCATCCCCCTCCCCCCAAAAAAAAATCAAAGCAAAAAAAAAAAATTATTAATTTTTTAAAGAAAGAAAGAATGCAAAAAAGGCAAAACTTTTACCAAAATATGAAACTAGCATACTAGCACTCCACAACTACCCCCCCCCCCCCCCCATCACCAGGGGGACAAGACCCGGCATGATGTTGCTTCATACCTTGCACTTTTAGTTGTTATTTTTTTAAGTAGACATTTTGAAGTTAATCACAATGAAACTTGCTGACATCCACAGCTGCCACTCAGAAATTTTAAAAAAGGAGGAAATTCATGCAAAGGCGTACGCGCGCTCTCCGAAACCAGTGAGATCCAGAGGCAATATATACTGGAAAATCTAGCCTACGGTTTTGGAAGGGAAAACTGTCATATTGTTAACCATAGGCAACTGAATTAAAATGTATTTGGAAAAAACAACAACATAAAGGCAGTAAGTTGACTAACAAGCATTCGAGTCAATTTGACACAGTTTGGACTTGGTGACTAAAAATCCAGTCTTTTTTGCCAGCTGGTGTTTCATAAAAAGATTTCTTTCACTTTAAACTTGTACATACATAGACGTAGAGCAGTATCGGATCAAGGATGCAGGCACTCCTGTACAATTGCGGTCCCGTTTGCACTTAGTGTCCCTGTAGTGTGTTTCTTATTTAGAGATAAACTGAATTAAAATTATAGCCAGGCTATCTAATCTAGATCTAGATATATCTAAATATGTGTAGATCTAGATTATATCTAGAGATAGATTTTCTAGATCTAGATTCACTTCCGCAGCAGCCACAATAGCCGTCATGTAAACAAACGGGACCGCAATTGTACAGGAGTGCCGCGGGCCGCGATTTCTTTCGCAAAAAACGGCTAGTTCAATTTTCTAATGAACTTTTCAAGTCGCACACCGGCTGCTTCTTTCTCATTCCAGCTCCTTTTATTTTTGCATTCTGAATCAATTTCTCTCGAATTTCCGCCAATTTCAATGACAACTCGGCGCGCTAACGTCCCGATGCCCGATCGACACTGCGTTGCTCCACAACAATAAACAATGTGAAACTAGCGCTGGGCCTAGAAGAACGGAAGTTGAAAGCTACGGGCGGACATGCGCAAACCGCGTTTTCGTCTCTCTCCCGGTTCGGTGTTTTCCGCGTGGAAAAAAAAAGTATGAAATTTGCGACCAAGAGCGGTCCAGCGGAGGAAGGAGGAAAGTTGCGGGAAAAGCTAGATGTAGCGGAGTTTCCGCTATTTAGCGGGAAAGTGGCAGCTATGGACATCATGCACATTATCAGTTTGAATAAAAGAGCAACAATCAATATAAAACCAAAATCACCCATATGAAAATATAACAACAAGCCTTTTCTCCCCCCCCCCCCCCCCCCCCCAAATCTGAATTCCTCTTTTTATTCACAGAGAGAGCTACCCATTTTGTAGCATACTATCTATCGTATTACCTCGCTCAGAGAAACTTTTCTCAGCTCTTCGACAAAGATGTCAGCTATGTGCAGCCTTAGACCATCTGGCAGGCGCGACTCCTCTGGCTGCATGACCGTCTCCGACAGGCTCCTGGAGAAGGAGAGGCACGCGGGGACCGGCCAACCAGCCTGGCTGAGCAGGCAGAAAGTTCTGTGCAGCATGTCCCGAATCATCTGGGGGGAAAAGGAATGGACTTGTTGACTTCATGACGACTGCTTCTGAAGTGTAAGACTCCGCCAAGGGCCATTTTGAAAATTGACATGTGATGGAGTCTTAACACTGAGTAGTTAAGCAAAATCACTTTCTTATTTATCAGGTAAATTTTCTAATCTATGTGATTTTAGACTGGTCTAACATGCTCATAAACACAAAAAGACACGTCGTCAGTATCATTCCACTATTATCCTAAACAAATTGTTTAGGTTTCCAAAACAAAGATAAAGCACTTTTTCAAATAAAAACATACGGGGCATCTTACAGTACGACTTCATTTTGTTCTTTTATTTTCTTCCCCTATTTAGTAGGCCAGGGCAAGATCGATTCTGGGATCGATTCTTTCGAGTCCAAATGAGGGCTCAAAGAATCGATCTTGTTCCCAGACTCTAAGCTTCGAGTCCGCCCTGGGTCGATGCCTCCCGTCTCCTTTTATTTAGCCTGGTTCCTAGCCTAGACTCCGAGAATCGAGGCAAGAATCTAAATCTCTACCTCACTATTACAGTCCTGTCGTGGGATAGGCCTAGGGCTGTCCCACCCCACAGTCGAGTTTTTCGCTTCAAAACAGACACCGCACCAGGACGGGACTGATCCGGGGCATAAGGCGGCTTCTTTGATGTTGGCCTAGGCGGAGTTAAAAATGCATTCCAAAAATTTCTTAAATATTGGCCAAATTTAAAAAATAATAAGATTTTCGTGATCAGCGACCTAAAATTAGCGAAAATTACTCGGGGAACCCAATTTAACGCCCGATTACCATGTTAAATTAATTTTTGTGAGTTTTGTTTACTTATGGTTTTTTTTCACTATTTGAATTTGGCGTGCACTAGGCCTTGATACATGTAGATTCAAGACTGTGTCTTCAAGGTGGATGAATCGAGGTTGCATGTGCCTGTGCTCTGTTGCTTCATATTAGAAAAAAGAGAAAGAGAAAACAGTATTAGGTCATACTGTCCCACCGATGTTGTTGCAATTCACAACTGCTCGGGACTCAATGCAACAAAAATGTCACTGTCACGTCCCAATAATAGGTGCGGTACATTACACTCTAGTTCAAAGGTTTCAAACGTCAGTCAGGTCTGTCCCGAGACGAACTTTCGTAGGCCTAGTGAGGTAGGGGCAAGAAAGTGCCAGTCAGTCACCATCAATTGTCTCACGCAACCCCCCACCCCACCCCACCTTCCTCTTTCTCGCTATGAGTGAATGCTAAACTAGGCCTAGGCCTACTTGTCGTTTCTACCAGTACGAAACCACGCTGCACATACGTTACTGCTACTTTGAATGTTGTTGCCCCACCCCCGCCCATCCCAAATTAAATCATTCACTTCCATTTTCTCTTTCTTTTGTCTTGAACATTGAACGCTTGCTTTTGAATTTCACTGCACTTTCATCTTCACTGTACACGTATTCTTTTGTAAATCATATTGTGTGTTTAGAGTTGACATCAATGAGTCATCATGTCTGGATGTCGATCTTTAGCTTGGGACTTTTTTTTATAAGCAGGAAAACACAGTACTGTTGTTTGTACGATTTGTAATAATGTTTTGACGTACACGTACAACAACAAAACGTCGACAATAACAAAACATTTGTCACCAAAGCATGCATTGACATATCAGGAAGCATAGGGTGCAAGAGAGAAGGAGCCTGTGCCCCACGCATTGGCAAGAGTGATAGAAGGTAGGCAACACACAAACACACACACTTACACACCCACACCCAAACACACAAATGCGTGAAAGCCAACTTGTCTTGGCACGCGCGCAGGCTTAGCCAGCCACGTCTGTCAAACTCGAGACTCGAGGTCTCGATCTTAAGAGCTATTTTTAGCAGTGTTCAAGACTCGAGGTCTCGATCTTAAGAGCTATTTTTAGCAGTGATCAAGTCATGGCCTCTAAACAGCCCACTTGAAGCAGCTTCCAAACTCGAAAATCGGACTCGATTCCTTGATTCTTTTTCAGTTTTGGAATCGAGGCCTCGAGTCTTTTGCCGTCGATCTTGCCCTGGCCTACTATTTAGTTCATAAATCAAAAGGGCCAAAGTCAAAGTTCTAATTTGGGATTCTTTTTCCTTTATATTCTCAAAATTTCAAAACTGGCGGAAAGGCACTGACCGCATAAAGCCACTCAAGATGATCCTAGTATCTATATATTATATTCTACAAAAGTTGGCAACAGCCAACTTCAGCATCTCAGTTGTACATTGGGCAAACAACAGTTTGGGGAATTTTCGAAAGGCAAGCATGCCCAGAAGGCTGATTTTCAACCGCACATGAAATAAAGCATGGCTGTAAAAACTAATAGTATCCTCACCATCAAGAACTTGTCCAGTCTCAGCTTGTCAATGCCGTTCCATTCCCTGGCATGAGTGGCCAAGAAAATTTTCACAAACCTCAGAGCATCTTCGATATTGGGAAATGATCCAAGGAGGCCAGTAATTCTTTTGGACAATTCTTCCTGCAGAACAGGAAACAGAAAAATAAGTTAAAAAAAAGAAAAAGTACAGAGCCTGTATTTTTATTAAGCTTAACTAAGTTGAGATCATGCACTAGTCGATGAACCTTCTTAATACTTTGCCATCACAAGGCTCAAATAGTAAAAACCCTTGCCATCAAAGGCAAAGGAATTTGGGGTAAAATCCAAAGAATCTGGGTGGTAAACACCGCCGATCGGCAAGATGTGACAGCAAAGTGCTAAACACTTTTATGACTAAACTGTAAGTATACAGAAGGCTATTTCACCTTTGTACACAAGAATCAAATTTTTCACCCAATTTTTTTCAGCATTGCAAAGTCCCCAGAACTGTGCCTGTTATTTAACTTATATTTGCATAAAACATAAACATCAAACTGAGTAAAAATAAGTACTGTTCACAATAAACAGACAGACTCGCTGGGGTTTTGTAGATTTTTATCAGATGACCAAACAACCAACTGTTGTGTTGTATACTGAGAGCAAGGAGTACTGTTAAAATTAGTGAACATGTCAACCGGCAAAAAACATCCCAAAACCCCATTCAGTGACACCCTACTTTCTAGCAACACCTCTCATATTCAGCACATATAAATATGACCTATTTGTGTTGTAAGAGTTGTAAAACTTACTGGCACTAAAAACAAATAGAGGTGACAATCTGCTTGACACCAAAGGATTTGTGCAGAGGACTTGAGGTCAATTTCTGTGTAGAGGGAGAATCTTTATTGAACATTTCTGTCTCTCCGCTGGAATGAAGAATCTCTCTAAGCCTAGGTTGGCCCTGACAGGCAGTGCCAAAGCCTGCCTCCTTAGTAAATTACCTAAATCATGTTTATGGGAGTTTTTAAAAAGGAAGTGGATATCTTCACCCGAGGTGAGAATAGAAATACGATCGACCTCTCACCCCGGGTGAGACTTGCCACCGTTGGCTATTCTCACCCGGCGTGAAACAAGACCTGTTTTTCCTAATTTCGGAATACTTTCTATCGATGTGGATGATCAAATGGATAAAGGCAAAGAAAAGATTACATTATAGCACAAAAGTAAGCTAATTTGATCATCTACAAAGATGCTATGGCTATTTCACTTTTCGAATCGAGCCGAACTACGGGGTTCGCCATTTTGTTTTGCCCGGAAGTTCTCGCAAGATCTACTCCTCCCCTCTTCTCTCTCTCTATCTCTTTCTGAATACTGTCTATCGGTGTGGACGATCAAATTGACCAAAGGAAAGTTAAAAAATGATGTTAAAACACAAAAGTAAATTAATTTGGTCGTCTACAAAGATGCTACTGCTATTTAACTTTTCGAATCGAGCCGAACTACGCGGGTCGCCATTTTGTTTTGCTCGGAAGTTCTCGCACTACTCCTCTCACTCTCTCTCCACTGCCCACGGACAAAATTGTACGCTTTTAGTAGGCTAACACTAACAGTAGTAATGGAACGTTTGTTCACGGCACAGAATTCTACAATTTTTCTGTTATCACAGTGTAGAATTCTGTGGTTTAGGGTGAACGCAAAATTGGTTGGCCTAGATCTAGGCTATAACAGTGAACGCACACCGGGTGAGAATAGCCAAAAGACTCGCCTGAGCTATTCTCACCCGGGATGAGAATAGAGGTGGCCTTTAAAAAAGCCACATTTGAAGAAAAAAAAGCGAAAAAATGTTTTTAGAAAAAGGAGAAAGTGACAGTTGACAATTTCAGACAGAAAAACTAACTGTGTGCTAATGAAGAAGAAGGGAATGTTATTTAATAGCCTTAAGTCAGAGTTTCACCCTGTGGAAAAAAAACCTTTCGATTTTTAATTTAAGATTGACAAATCTTCACCTGAATTAAGGGTTTGTCCTGCATCCACATGCAATAAAAGAGCCCTTTCCATATCTTGAGAAAGTCGTCATCGCTAAGACCAACTGCAAAGAAAAAAAAGACAAGAACAACTATAAAATTCAGGCTGAGTTGTGAACCAACTAAAGTGACTAAAGTAAAAAACTTTAAAGTCCCTTCTTTATTGCGTAGTTTGGGGTGGTCGCTCGTTACGGAAGTCCTTCCCCACATTTCTAGATCTAGAGTCTAGATTTAGCAATTATTTTAAAATTGAGGCCGTCGTTATTCGGACTCGAGTCCGAATACCATTTTTTCATATTCGGACTCGAGTCCGAAAAAAAGGAAGTGTCTTCGTTCTATAGATCTAACGTTCAGTGCTTCCAATTTTCCGCCATTTTTTAGTTTCTCTCACACCTTTTCTGCCAATCCGATGCCCGCCGCCTCATTGATACGCCCCCCCCCCCCCGCCCCCCATGTTTCCCACTTTCTTTGTTGTAGAAAAAGGTAAAATTGAAGATTAGCAGACCACCTGGCACCTGCATATTATGAGCTGGGGAACAAAAAAAAAGACTGATTCGTTCAAATACACACAAGCATGTGTCATATCGATTGTTTACCAAGTTGTGTTGCTGTGTAGAGCTGAGCATAAGGCAACTTTTGATTCCATAGACCAGCACACAATTCATTACGTAGATCTACGTCAAGACTAGCTTATTATTGTAATACTGATCAGTTAACGGGGGCAAAAAGACTAAGGCGTATGTGACATTCAACGCCCGGACCGATAGTGCCCCCCCACCCCCCTCCCCGACATGCACACAGCCACACGTGTGCAGGCCGCCCATCCGACCCCGACACACGCTAACGAACCATCTTTATTGCTTCTGATGACCTCTTGACAAATAAACATTTATTAGAAGCGCTATAACTTTTCAGGCCGGCCTCAAATTCATCATAAGATTAAAAGTCGGCTCCTGCACAAAACGCCTTTTTGCCCGAAGTGATCCCGGTCTCTACCCAGCCTGAGGCGAGTCACGAGTGAGGCAGGACAGGAAGCCGGATTCACGAGTCACAGGAAGTCGGAAGTGATGTCATGCTGGACAAGAATCAGAGTCCGAATAACATTTTTTCATAGGGACTCGAGTCCGAATAGTCACTTCAGCCTTTAAAATTACAGGGTAAGTGTTCCATTGCAGCCTTCCGTCTGCAAATAATTTATCAGATTGATAAGTGATAGACCTAGTAATGCTACTAAAGATGAATTGTTGAAATCTTTCTCTCTCTCTCTCTCTCACACACACACACTCTCTCCCCCCCTCCCTCCCTCTTGCTCTCTCCCTCACACACACACTCTCTCTCTATATCTATCTCTAGATCTAGTCTAGCTAGAGACTAGACTACTAGACTATGTAGAAGAGTAGAAGGCGGGGTGATCTTATACTTTAGCACGTTAAATTCTACAATTGAGGACTTCCGAAGCGAGCGACCACTATCAGGCCTGGATCAAAATTTTATGTCATCAAGATTGGAAATGGCTATTCTCACCCTGGCCCTGGGTGAGAACAGAAATACGATCGACCTCTCACCCCGGGTGAGACTTGCCACCGTAGGCTATTCTCACCCGATGTGAAACAAGACCAGTTTTTCCTAATTTCGGAATACTTTCTATCGATGTGGATGATCAAATGGATAAAGGCAAAGAAAAGATTACGTTATAGCACAAAAGTAAGCTTATTTTACAGACTACAAAGATGCTATGGCTATTTCACTTTTCGAATCGAGCCGAACTATGTGGGTCCCCATTTTGTTTTGCCCGGAAGTTCTCGCAAGATCTACTCCTCCCCTCTTCTCTCTCTCTGTCTCTTTCTGAATACTGTCTATCGGTGTGGACGATCAAAATGACCAAAACAAAGTTAAAAAATGATGTTAAAACACAAAAGTAAATTAATTTGGTCGTCTCCATAGATGCTACTGCTATTTAACTTTTCGAATCGAGCCGAACTACGCGGGTCGCCATTTTGTTTTGCCCGGAAGTTCTCGTGCTACTCCTCTCTCTCTCTCCCTCTCTCTCAACTGCCCACAGACAAAATTGTACGCTTTTAGATCTAGTAGACTAACAGTAGTAATGGAACGTTTGTTCACGGCACAGAATTTTACAATTTTTCTGTTATCACAGTGTAGAATTCTGTGGTTTAGGGTGAACGCAAAATTGGTTGGCCTAGATCTAGATCTAGGCTATAACGGTGAGCGCGCACCGGGTGAGAATAGCCAAAAGACTCGCCTGCACTATTCTCACCCCGACCCCGGGACCTACTCACCCGGGGTGAGAATAGAGGTGGCCATCAAGATTACTCAAAGGGAGTGTATACAGACCCGGTAACCGGGAACAAAGTCACAAAGTATACAGACCCGGTAGGGGAACTCTTTTGTGATTTCGGAAAGTTTCAGCGCCTTTTGGCTCAGGAAAAGCTTCCAAAATCATGATGGAAGACTGAATACCACAGTTATACGATCTGTTCATGACAAAATTACGATAGTTTGCACATTTTTAGGCCCAGTTCAAAGTTTTGAAGGTCTGAGTCGGGGGTTAGCACACTTTTTGGGCTTGGGAATTTAACGTGCTAAACTTAGATCTTTAGTATAGTATAAGATCACGAGGCGGAGTCTAGATTAGTAGATCCAGACTCTAGCCTACAAATAGCAACATGGAAAACAAAAGTTACCTCCATGTGACGATTTCAAGGATAGATACTTCTGTAGGCGTTTCATTGCCCTGTCTCTAATTTTCTTTTCATTAGAGGCAAGTTTCTGAGCAAAGTGTACTTCGGCGGAGCCTTCCATCTTCTCCACGATGTTGATAATGGTAGGAAATGGTAGCATGGACCGGAAGTAGTTTTTCTCACAATGTTACAGCGACTTCGATGTTTATTCACGAAGTACGCTTTTCGTTTCGACCCAAATTGTTTCTATCCATACATCTACTACTTTCAATTGCTTCTAGATACTGTTGTAACAGAAAGTGAACGTAAAGGATTATTGTGGAAAGTAAAGAAAGCAGAATGCACGGTAATATCCCCAAAAAAAGCAGCAACACCTGGATCTAGTTGTAATCTCATTAGCAAAGGTGAAAAGATAAAACCTGTCCAACAGTTTATATAGCTAGGATATATGATAACATCTGATGCCAAATGTTCCACAGAAATTAATAAGACGGAGAATTACAATGGCTAAGGCTAGTTTCAATAAAATGAGACCTATCCTTAAAAATAGGAACATCTCAAGGAACACCAAAATGAAAGTTCTGAAATGCTCTGTTTTGTCAACCCTTCTACATGGCTGTGAATGCTGGACAATCACTAAAGACAGTGAAAATAAAATAGAAACAACAGAAATGTGATTTCTTAGGAGACTGCTAGCTAAGAGTATCGTGGTTGGAAAAGAAATCAAATGAGGTAGTTCTTGATGAAGCCCACGTGGAACGCTCAATTTTAAAAACCATCAGGAAACGACAAATGCAGTTTTTGGGACACATAGACATTTTTAAAAAAGGTCTTGAATATCTGGCTCTCACTGGCAAAATTGAGGCAGGGGAAGGCCCAGAACAAAATACTTAGGGAACCTAAACAAATGGGTAACATGGAAAGATCAGGGAAACGTAGCTTTTTTAGAGAGCATCCGAGCAAACGAATGAATGGAGAACCATGGTCGCCCATGTCTGTCGCAGATCAGGCACTGGATGACGATGACATCTACTACCAAACCACCGTGAGTTCACTTTTTAGTGGACAAACTTATTACAAGATATTGATTTTATAGTGAACACATTTTTTACTCTAGAGGTTCCCAAAACATGCGTTCAATAAGCATAAAGTCGCTATTAGAAAACAATGACAGGCTTTTAAAAGCGATATTGCCAGAGCTGTTAACTTTTTTTAACCTGTAGAAACCATTGACTTGGATTTTGTTTTAGTATAATTTATTAAGGAATTTTCTAGAATACAGTGTGCAGGTGTTTGAAAAAAATATTCATCAGTTAAGACAAATTGATATAAGTCATTGTGCCAACGTTGGAGAATCTATGTTCAATAGGAGATAATTAATGTATTTGACAATAAGTTACGCCACGAATTTTAGACACACTATAAAGTGGTTTCTTTTCCCTACTACAATAAAACGTCATCTTTGTATCACTTTTTAAAAATTACAATGAAGGCCTAGTATTGTTTTTTCTTTCAGTTTTAAAGCCAAAAGTCATCGGGAAGTTTCTCTGGCATACCTAAACTCCTTATTAAAAAACCATTGAAGTCTACCTGAATTAAACAACTGGGATTTGAAGTCGATTTATGTGCGATTCGACCCTCGTCCTTAACCAAGGAATGTGTTTACGACAATAAGCGGTCTTTACACCAAAAACAATGCTTTTGCGATATTTCTTGGCATTTCTTTTAAAGATTGAAACGCAAAATGGATCGAGTTTGGGTTAATCTATATTTTTGGAAGGCTAAACGAAAAGCTACTGGTGTGTTTTATTACGTTTAGAGCTCCAAATATTGACATAATAAAAAATACTAAGCTTACTAGACTCTATTGATAAATTATAAAATTATTTATTGTAAAGGATAAATGTCACTTATTTGATGGATCTACATCTTATACTTAAAATTGAGCTGTAGGCTATGCTGTATAGAAATCCAGCATTTTGTCATTATGACTTGAAAACAAGCCACTTTTTCATAAAGCAAAAATTTGACATGATACTAAAACCTATTCCATTTCTGAAATCAGCAACCCCAAAGTAACTTGGAATAATTAAGTCTTAAACTAATGTCGCAAATAAATGTGTGTTGACCAGTGTAATTATTAGCGCACGGTTTATCCTGAGACAGATGAAATTTTTAAAAACGGACACCGAGACCCGCATACAGATGGACAAACGTTCAAGATTGCACTCAGAAACAACTCTGGGTATTGCGCAGTGTATTAAACTATCAGTGCAACACGGCAGCTCTGCATACTTTTTATACTTACCTACCTACCTACCTACCTACCTACCTACCTACCTACCTACCTACCTACCTAC